GGCATAGTCTAGCTCCTACTTGCATGCCTATCCTTGTTCTACGTCTAACTTGGGTCAAAGCCCAAGTTGCATACCATGTTAACTGATAAAATACTTATATCCTCGTGTTAGACCACTAGTATGTTAAAATAGTGCCTGACTCTATTTAGCTCTATTTTGGGTGTTGATTATGGTATTGGGATATTCAAAACTCTAAGACTATTCTAATGTTGCTTTGTATTCTTGTCCCTTCAAGTTGAACACTTAGGAATCACTCCATACTCTAGTTCCTTTACTCCTTGGTTGCAAGCTTAAGAATTTGGCTCCATTCTTTCATTTAGTGCCTTAAGGCTTTAAAAGTTAGATCATGTGGCATATGGCATGTGGCATATGACATGTGGCACATGGAAGGTTTAGGTTCCGCTTTATGATTATCCTATGGTAAATCACCATCAGATATAGGGTGAAAACCACATGCACTACAATAAATTATGAACACATGATAAATGATGTTTAATTTCTTTAGATGATATTAGGAAACTCCTCAAATTTTATGAGTTTGACTATCAAGCAATTTTGCATAGTGTTCAACTCTTTCTATGTGAATAGATATATAAAAAGTTTGTGATTCCTTTACATTTGTAAAGCATAAACAATAAAAAACAACTCTTGCTTATATATAGAATATTATTGCTTTGCATAATTACTCTTATATACAATAGGTTGTCCTTTTCACATGAGAACTATTCCCTAGATAACCTCATCATAAGTAATCTCATAAAGTTTTGACAGATTTATAATATAAAGCATTGAAGCCTACTCAATAACTATTCAAAGCCTTAAAACTATCATTTTATAAACAATTTCACTTAAATAGCACATAATTACGCAATAAACATGTCAAAGGAATAGCCACCTCCACAATGTACATGAAAACATCAATAATAACTAACCATACCACACTAAAGTTGTATATATATACCTTTCTTGGATTTGTAAATATCATAATTAGCCTAGTTTTGATTTTGCAAATTTGCAATTACTTTTCTTTACATAAAGTTTGTTATTATAGTAATAAAAAAAAACCTTTTGCAAATGCTCCTCTATATTATTGTTAAAAAACAAGAATATCATCCAAGAAAATCTCCACAAACTCATATCTTAGTTTGTTCAAGGCAAAACTTCATTAGCCCATACAAGAAGGCTAAGTCCATCCATTTTATTCGTCTCTCATTTTGTCCATATTCTTTGTATTTAGGCTTGAGTTCATATGAGTTTATAGTGTGTCACAAGCCTAACTAGTACTTTAGACTTGTCATGTGAGGCTTGAAAGTCTCTTTTGTATTTTATTATTCTCATCTTAGTATCAAAGGGGGTGATCATGAGCCTCGTTCCATTCATAATGTGTTTCTCAATTCATGTGTGTAAATTCTCAATTGCCACTCCATAAGCTGATAGCTCCAAAATGAGTTTAAAATTTAAAAATAAAGAATTTCCCATTTCCCACTTCCCATTTCCCATTTCCCACTCATTCACTACCTTCTTCCATGTCAAAAGCACCACAAATTATGTTAGGCTTAAATGGGCCCTCATAATAAGTGGAAAAGGCTCAACAAGTCATCCTCACCAACAAATGAGTTTAGGTTTAAGGGGATTCAAAATGAACCTCAAATCACTCAATTGCATTCATCAACCATGTTGAATTCATTGGCTCCAAATAGTATAAGAGTGTCACCACATTCTCTTCCCAACCAAGAGGCTCTCTCCTTATATAATTTATTTATATGTGATCATGAACCTTGAGCCCCACCCCCCTCAAAGAAAATAAGTTTTGAGAAAAAACTCGAGATTTCTTTCTTTAAGTTTTAAAAAAATAAATCTTTAAACAATTATAACTCTTACCACAAGTGTCCATTCGACATAAGAGTGGTACCATTAAATTCATCTTGATCTAAACTTTATGAACATGTAATTTTTAATTTAATTTAAGATACTTAAAAATTCAAGACTTGCCCAAGTATTTAATTCCTCATCAACATATTTATTATGTTCCTTTTAATTAATTTTGGTGTCATACTTGATAAATGCTTAAATACCAAGGGGATAATCAATTTTATGTTAAATTGTTGGGGTTCATTACAGTCATGACAACTTCACTACCCTTATTATGTTTTAAACCAAATTCCTACATATAAATGAATTTTCAATTTAAAGAGCCTGGAGTAGTGGGGACTGCAACAACAACAAATTCACATTAACTTCCACATAGAAGAAATTGTAATGCTCCAACTGACTTAAGTGGCAACCACCAATTTCCAAGCAGATGGGTACCTCATAACTAACATGTAGCTACTCACATCCATTCAATACCAACTGTAAGAGATTTAGACCCCTGATTGACAGACTCAACTCTTCCAAAAACTAGGGAGTCTTGAAATATAACAAATCTCCTCAATAACGTATGGCATCTATTCTACAGACCCTTACTGCATGATAGGTGTCCACAAGTGCTGTGTTGCTTCAATGCTCTCTAATTCAAGATGTGTACACAAGGAAGAAGCCATATTCCCTATGGTACTATTGCTGTTTGTCTTACTACAAATTTGAAAACAATTTTTTCTAGTGTTGAAGAGAATTGCCTCACTGCCTACGGTTTCACTTGTACTCAAGGAGCATGTTATTCTCAGGTGCCAATCCAATGCAAGTTCACAAGGTTCAAGTTTTATTGTGTCCACATAATATGCAATCCTAGTGTCTACAATACTTGGTCAATTGTGAAGCACATGTAAGAGGTTACAAGGGAGCTAAGTATAAGGGGTTTCACACATTATTGAAGCAAATATTCCATAAACAATACAGAAGTTCAATGAAAAAACTCTTTATAAATATGTATCACAGATAAGATTTACCATAAATCTATTGTTCGAAGTTGTGGTGTCACCTTGTTTAGACTATATATGTTGTGTTAGTGTGGATAGAGGACATTACTGTTCTAGAAGCAATGCATCCAACATAGGCTCTAGTTTAGGAGGCAACAACTCCTCGTTGTTGTTCTTTAGTAGGCTATCAGGGAATAAGATTAATTGGCTTGAAGGAATAGTGTTATCATCAATATAGTCTTCGCCTTCAAGACTTGTGGGGGAGATGTAGTCTGCGAGAGGGAGTGAGGCTGAAGTTTACAATAGACTTCCACCAATTGGAACCGGCTTTCTCATGGACTCACTCGAATTCGTAACTGAATATGGAAGCAGCTTACCGAATGTGGAAGCGGCTTACGAATTTGGAACCAATTTTGTGAGCAGCAACCGAATTTGGAAGCGGCATACGAATGTGGCCGTAGTGAGGCTGAAGAAGCATGGGAAGCGATTCGAGATTGCTTGTTACAAGAACAAGGTCCTGTCTTGGCGATCCAAAGTGTAAGTCTTGACTTTGTTGGATCTATCGGCAGTCAGTTACCGGTTTCATTTGCATTTGGTGATCCAGGGAGAAAGACATCGACGAAGTGCTGCAGACTCATACTGTGTACTGCAATGTTTCAAAGGGTATTCTTGCAAAGTCCAAGGAGCTCATGGAAGCGTTTGGTACAACGGATGAGGAGAAAATCTGCCTTGAGGTACATGCCTGGAAGTCTCAGTTATAGGTACCACTAAATTGAACGAAATGCAGATACTGGAGAAGGGGGAGCTTCAAATCGCCGGCAAGGAGAGAGAAGTGCAGTTGTCAAGTCAGTTCCGGGATATTGCAACTATCGTCATGGACAAGACCCTTAACCCTGAGACTGAACGACCATATACAATAAGTATGATAGAGCGCTTCATGCGTGAAGCTCACTTTGCAGTAGATCCTCACAGATCATCAAAGAAACAGGTAGCGACATTTTGACTTTTCCTGCTGATTCTAATGTGTATATATGGCTTGTCTTTTCGCAGGCATTAGAGCTCATCAGAGAGTTACAAAAGCATTATCCCATTATGAGGGCGCAAAATGAGACTGAAGCTGTCCGTGTCTACGGACCAGCGGCAAAAGCTCTCTGAACAACTAAATAATTGGCAAGCACGAGTAGAAGGCGAAGAAGTTGCTAACGGTGTCTGCTCGATAGTAAGTTACTTGAATATTTCGAAGTCAGGCTCAACCAGTCCCTTACTCGAGTGGAGGCTGGTTATTTTCGGGCATGTGATTCCTTGATAAGGGAGTGCGGTGGAAAGCTTGACGTACTCTCTATGGCGGTGCATAAAGATGACGATGAAGATGGAGAAGGAGAGGAAACAAGTAGTCAGACGGATACCGTACAGGGAATTGCATCCAAACTCAAGAATACAGAAATTGCACCTTCGAAAAAAGAGACGACCGCTCCAACCAGTTCTGGGAAGAGATGCCTGACATGCAATGCGGTGATTGGAGATGCACAGGAGTTCAGGGAGCACTCACTACAAGAGCGATTGGCACAAGCATAACTTGAAGAGGAAAGTCAGACAGCTACCACTGTTGAGCGCGGAGGAATGCTTGTTGGATTCGTCAGTTGCGGATCAGGGAAATGACATGAACGAGCACAGCCGTTAAGAAGCAGCTAAGTTTAGCATATAGTCTAGTGACTCTAGTATAGTTGAGGTGCGGGGAAATAAACGTTCGCGTGGAACCAGAGGCTACATCTTGTCCGTCCATTGATTGCGATTGCGATGGGATTGAATGCTTGGAATGTTCTGCTGCTTACGTGTTGGTATTGAGACTCAGCTGGAAGAGCAGCTGCTATGGGAGCGCAGCGGGTCGACTTGCGAGGAAAGTAATCAATAGTTCTCGCACATTCGGAACAGCCGCTTTGGAGGTTCAGTAGCTCTATCTAGGTCTTTTTTATTTCCAAATTCATCTGATCCCTGCTTTCCTACAGCATGGAAGCAGCTACAGGTCCTCGGGCGCTGCTTTGGACGAGACTGCATTGCAGGTATAGATTCTGTTGTCATCAAGTATAAATTGATTGATCAATTTACTGATTACAAAGCTTGCAGCAATTTGCCACAGACACTATTGCTCCTCATGCTGCCAATATCGACGCCACAAATTCAATCCCGAAGGTCGTTTGAATAATTGCATCACCCTATTTGATCATCTAAGCTCCATCTTGCAGAATGTGAATCTCTGGAAACTGATGGGCGACTTCAATTTGCACGGCATCACGGCTCCTGGTAAGTTCCTTGCTATACGTTTTTTATTCTGTTCAGATCTCATGGGAAAAATATGGGGGACTTGGGCTCGGCTATCTGTACCACTGTTAGGCAATGGAGGAAATTAGTCGCGCTTCTGGATTCGTTGGTCTCTCATACGGTGCTCATTCCAATCTTTGCATCAACCAGCTGGTAAGCACTAGTTCAGATCGCTGTAGGCTCATGATTTCCATAACCAAGTAAGGAACGGTAACGAAACTCAGAAGGAAAAATATTTACCACAGGTATGTAGCTTTGAAATTGAGGTTGCACAGAGATTCTAACTCCTCCATGACCTGAAGTTGATAAGCGGAGACCATGTGGGGGCCCTCGTGATGAGCGAACCAAATTGTCCGTTTGTTGCGTTTTCATATTTTGGAGATTTACGCTTTTTCGTCATTTTTCTTGCAGCGGGGTCTGATGTGGTCAGCATGAAATGCAAGGCTGTACGCGTGGATGAGGGATACATCTTGAACGGAAACAAAATCTGGTGCACCAATGGACCTGTTGCTAATACTTTGGTCTGTGGACTTTTCATCTCTTTACGTATCTGACCCAAATTGAGCAGATAGTGTACGCGAAAACTGACCTGAGTGCTGGAGCACATGGAATCACCGCGTTTATTATTGAAAAGGGGATGCAAGGGTAATTTTTTACTGTTGCTTAACTTACCCGAAACTTGATGTGGGTCATCTACAGCTTCAGCACAGCTCAGAAGCTAGATAAGCTTGGAATGCGTGGAAGTGATACGTATGCTGTCAAAGCATTTATCAACCTTCAAAAATTATCTGCTTGAATGGTCTTTGCTAGGTGCGAATTGGTGTTTGAAAACTGTTTCGTTCCCCGAGGACATATTCTTGGCCAGGAAGGCAAAGGTAAACAGGTACTTGTTGGTGGTGGTGAATTTCTTTCTTTTGCCGCTGCAGGTGTTTATGTGATGATGTCCGGACTGGATCTAGAAAGGCTGGTACTCGCAGCTGGTCCCGTGGGCCTGATGCAGGCTTGCATGGATAGTGTACTTCCATATGTTCGGCAGAGGGAACAATTCGGAAAGCCAATAGGAGAGTTTCAGCTTATGCAGGTACTCTACTGTCCTTTTTTTTCCAGCCTTACCCTGTTCTGTAATAGGGAAAATTACCTGATATGTACACCAAACTGCAAGCTGCAAGGTACTTAGAAACTACACCCGAGTGCCCTTTGTCTGACTCCTGCTCGTTACAGGTCGTTTGTGCACTCGGTTGCTCGAGACTGTGACGCTGGTCGCATTGACAGAAAGGTAACTCGTGATCTCTTTGTGCTTTGTAAATCTTTTTTCTTGGCAGGATTGTGCTACAGCAATACTTTTTGCTTCTGAAAATGCAACTCAAGTCGCTCTACAGGTAAGAGAAAACGCTGCTCTATATAAACTGAAATTCACGGGCAGTGTACGTGATTCCAGGCGGTCCAGTGCCTTGGCGGGAATGGCTATGTGAACGATTATCCTACGGGCAGGCTACTCAGAGACGCTAAACTATACGAAATTGGAGCTGGAACAAACGAGATCCGAAGGATGTTGATAGGGAAGCAGCTCTACAAAGGTGATTATTAAGTCGACCAAATTCTCCCCGCAATCGAGGAAAATTCACACAAAACGAAATGGACGGTTTGACGAAACCCACGAATGGTCAGGATCTTTTGCTCGTTAAGTTGCCATTTGGCAAGTTTGTATTCTGCCAGATGTAAGAGTGAGGCTGGATTGCCCATCTGACAGCGAGACCGACCGCACCAGACTCAATGGCCAGTATGACATTGATGAGTTCGTGAGCGCGAGTGTGAATATTGAAAATAGCTGCCGTGTGCGGGTGGACGACGATTTTATCACACCAAGGGAGCTCGGGGGTTGCTCAATTCCGATTACGTTCCGTCCGGACAGCCATTGAGCAACTGCGCTAAAAGTGCAAGCGCCAATGGAAGAATTCTGACATACAGATCAAGGAGCGCGATGGCCATGCACATTTGAGTACGCGCCAAATGCGTGCCCGCCACCACGCATCTCAGCCGTCAGTGGCACCCGCATCTCGGCCGTCAGTGGCACCCGCATCTCAACCGTCAGTAGCACCTGCATCTCGGCCGTCAGTGGCACCCGCATCTCAGCCGTCAGTTGCGCCTGCCTAGACGTTGCCTTCATGTCCACTCCCCTCAGTTCCAATTCCTCGGTTTCGGTTTCGTTCCAATTCCATCAATCCCCATTCCCTCAATTCCACTTCCATCAATTTCAATTCAGTAACCACTTGCATCATCATAAAGTTGAGATACAGTAATTAATAAATCTAGTTCTGTCAGGTTTGTGTTTCTGGATTCATAAAACTGATAATATATTTCCAAACGAAACAAAATCATATAAAATAATTGTAGGTAGAAATTAAATATTGCTGTAATATTCTTATTATTTCCTTAAACATATTTATTATTACAAAACTTACGTCACCTAGTTTCTAGCCGGCAGGCAGACGTCATGAGAAGCTACTTGGCTAAATCTGTATGCCAGAATATGAAGAGGATCCGAATCCCTAGTTGCAACTAACACTCAACCCACCTTGTCATTGTCTACAAACCTGAACAACTAAATTGTCCATGGAGTTACAATCACAAGTCGGATCTTTGGGGTGGAAGTGATCACTTGCAAGAGCACCTTCCAAGTCCATTCATTGTGCATATTGGTGACCTAATGCTTTCTCTAGAGGTTTTCATTTTGCGCTCTCTCGTGACTCTTGCTGACTTTGTAGTCAATTCTGCTCAGCCTAGTCAAGGACGTGAACGCCGTTGGAGACAAAAGTGAATTGTTCTCTCACATTTGTCAAAGTCGCTTCACAAGCCTCCGATGACAAGAGCCCGGCGTCAAGAACGTGCACGACACGGCCTAGCTATGCACACAGACTGTATAAAAACCAACTGTATGAACTTGTGATTCAGCAATTCGCATCGAAATGGCGAGCGCGCGGGTGCTCATCTGCACTACTTTGCAGATTTTGTTGCTGGCCTCAAGCGCATTTCTTGATAGCGGTGGGTAAATTCGTAGAGGTCTGGGTTTGCATGTTGTTCCTCAAGGTTTGAATTGTTGTATGCAGCTGCAATTGGTGTCAATCTTGGTTTTTCTGGGAACAACTTACCTCCAATATCTCGGACTGTGGAGCTCATTAAGTCCCTTCCAATAAACATCGACCGAGTGAAGATATTTGAAGCGAACGTGGATGTCATACGCGCGTTTGCGGGCTCAAACTTGAAGATGCTGGTGTCTGTAACGAATGATGAAATCTCCAACATCGCGAGCAGTAGCCAGGCTGCCGCCAACTGGGTGAACGACCACATCGCTCCAGTTGCATCCTCCACAAATATAGAGTTTGTCGCTGTTGGTAATGAAGTACTGTCTCCTTCACGAAACGATCTGGTTCCAGCAATGAGAAACATCAGGAGCGCTCTGGATGCGAGTAACTTCCGAAACATCAAGGTTACAACACCACTTGCGCTCAACTTCCTCGCGGACGGCAGTTTCCCTCCATCCAAAGGCAGCTTCCGAGGTGACTACAGCTCCATACTCGGATCTCTGCTGGACTTCCTCTCGAGCACAGACTCCCCATTCATGGTGAACGTGTACCCCTACTTCTCGTGGAAAAACGACCAATCCATCCAGCTGAGCTACGCCTTGTTCCAAAGCCGCCAAACCGTGGTATCGGATGGCCAGTACAACTACAACAACCTGCTGGATGCGACCGTGGACACTGTGTACGCGGCAATGGAGAAATCCGGCCATGGAAATGTTAAAATCGCAATCGGAGAAAGTGGCTGGCCAAGCAGTGGAGGAGACGGCGCCACAACTGAGAATGCTCAAGCGTACCTCTCCGGTCTCATCAACAAGATCAACAGTGGGAATGGAACTCCTCGCATTTCAGGCCCGCTCATAGCCAACATCTTCGCTCTGTATGATGAAAATCAGAAAGGAGGCGAAGAAATTGAGAGGCACTTTGGGTTGCTCCGCCCGGATGGTACACCTAAATACTCCTTACCGTGATGTGACCAACAGTCATATCGTCAAATAAAGTCAACATAGTCAAACATTGACTATGTTTGAGCATTTTGAAATGAAGGGCTCGCTCCCTGTTTGCTAAATAAAGTTTTCTTTACCACCAATTAAGTCGTGTAACTGTATTGTTTTAGTCCGTTGAATAGTCTGAATTCAATAATTAGTATAAATTTAATAAACTGAATTAAAAAATAATCAAGATCCCCGCTTTCCCTAGGGCATCACCATGGCATCAGCATAGAAGCCTTAGTCACAGATGTTGTTCAGATTGCCACGACACATAAGCAAACACCATGTTATACCATTCACGGAGTGAATGCAGTAAAGGTCTTTACCTTTAGCAAATGCATTCTTATAAATATAATTCCTAATTTGTACAAAAGCATTATAACCTTGAAGTCCATCAAATCCAACTTGTAGTGGCTTGAGACTGCATAATATATTAGGTGCCATTGAAAAGGTCCTAATAGCAAATGAACCCAGAATTTTTGCCGTTTTTAGAGGAGTAATAGTTTCATCTATGTTTTCTATTAAAGATACAAACTGTTTTCTAGATAATTTAGGATTATCTGAGTACAATGTCATAGGATGATCAGGAAATATATCTTCATCTGGTGGTGGTGGTAGTGCAAAAATGCATAAAGGTAAATTAAGAATTAGTAGTATATTCATTTCAAGCTATAACTTTACCATTTTGGTTAATTTAAAAGGTTAATAAAGTTTCATTGTGTAATTTGGTGTACATGTTATGAAAAACTCCGTTACAAATGGCAACAGAGGAGATGTCTGCGTCAAATCGTCTCACATAGAACAGAGTTCCCAAGAATCCTATTCCTATTTCTTCACGTTCGTACCAAGGACCGTGGCGATTCCAGCATCGTTGCCTTTGACACGCTGGCGGCTTTGGAGAATCTAAAGTTCTTCACGCGCTGTGGCAGCCTTTGTTATGATCCTCGCCACTTGGCTCGAAGGGATGTCCCTTTTTAAACTCGAGCCTCGACCGATGGAGGAGGTGGAGCTGCTGTGGACTCTTGGACGCCTCCTCCAGCTTCTTCAGCTTCTTCTGGTTCTCCGCCTCCTCTTTTGACACCTCCTTGACAAACGCAACCCGGAGCTTACGTTTTATCACCTTGAGCTTCTCCAAGAGCTTGGCGTCGTCAGGTAGCACCTTGATCGCCACCTGCGAGAGAATCCAAACAAAAACCAGATGAATGTTAAAATGTTCCTTAACATTTATTAAAGAAAAAAAAATTTCACTCGACTCTCTCACCGTTTATAAGTGTTCCCACACCAAGTATATCGAGGATAACCTGCAGATCTTTCAGCGCTCCTCGGAGATCGCCCAGGCCCTCAAATGCCAGTGCTTTTGAAACATTCAACGCTTTTAAATTAGTTTAGCATGTGCAGAAGTTGTATAAATTTAAATATGATTCTAGTTTTGTTTGTTTTGCAGAAAAAAGAGATCCTATTAAAAAAAAAGTGATAATATGAGCTTATGAAATGCAGTAGGAGAAATCCTCAACAAGGCAATGATTGATGAAATTGATGTAAATGCAATTGTCCACCATAAGACCCTTGATATATTAAGCATTTCATTGTTGATCAAGTTTATAAATCCCAACTTTGCAAATGAAACTCTACCATTTCCCTCCATATCTAGATATGGAAATCTTTGGACATATTGCATACTAATTGGGATGGATAGTAGTTAATGTATCTTTGAACCTTGGTTTAGTTTGATAAAAAAGTAAGTAATTTCACATTTGATTTTAGCAAGTTTTTAGCTTGACTTTCAGGATATGAGCAAGACAACTCTTAGGTTGTTTGAAAAATCCAACACTTCAGCTAAGGCATATGCTCATTTCCAGCAAAAAAAGACATGTAAGGCTACTTTGTTAGACTACTCAACATTTATATTTTCCTTTACAAGATATGGACTGTGGATATCAAATTTTTAGATAAATTAGAGGAAATCAATAGAGTAGAAATTTGAAAGTCTCTTCCTTGACAACAATGTACTTTTTTTATGTACCAGTGTACCAATCAAAATTTAAATTTAAATGTAATTATACTAGACTGACCTATATTTAGACTACCTTTCCATATTTGAAATCTAAATTACATCTTTCTATTCAATCTATGTTTAGAAAATTAAAATACCAATATATATATACATGGAAAAATAAGGTAATATATTCTTTCATTTGGAGATGATGTGACATAGTATGTATTTTTGTTAACATAAAGGTGGTTATAATCTGGAGGTTAACAATTCAATTGTCACATATCTCTTGCTATAGAACATTGACTTTAAATTTTATTGTTAAATATTAACTTAAATTGAAGAGGTTAAAAATGTATCTTGTATACCTTATGCTATTTGTTAAGCATACATCCATACATATGACTAAATTTCTAAACTGAATCTTGTATATCACTATATTATAGAGAAACATTTATATCTATTGCTATATTGAGTAACTAAATTTAATTAAATATTACTACTTTATAACTAAAATTAATAAGTAAAATAATAATTTTAAAATTACTTATTTTATAACTTTCTAAAACAATTCTATATTTTCTTTATTTTAGATGATTTAAGACTTTGTTGACCATAGAATTTCACCTTCCTCTGTATTATAAATATAAAAGTTACCATCATCTGATACTTCTAAACCTGTTTGATATTTTGAGTGTTGTGATAATAATTCCCATATTAAAATGTTATTATTTACTATAGTTAAATGACCAGTTCGGTCTAAATGTGCAAAACAATCATTTAATATTACTGAATTAATACTTTCACTTGATGTCATTAAATTAAAACCTTTACTTTTCCAAATTACTCTTTCACTCCCAATTTTATAAAAAAGTAATTGACAATTTTTCATCGTCAATCTATAATTTTTGTAAGGTGAAACTAAGCTATTTCCATCTGGTATAGTAGATCTTTGTTTAACACTATCACCACCAATAAGAGCTGATCTATATACATCACAGTGACCATTATAACTATTGTAAGTAAATTTTCTTATTGTAAAAGTATTATAATTATAATTATAATATGTTAGAGCTGTACTATTAACATCATATTGAATGCCAAAATTCCTAAAATTAGCTTCATATTCACTATAATAGTAAATTAATTGGTCTTTACCTTTAGCAAATGCAGTCTTATAAATATAATTCCTAATTTGTACAAAAGCATTGTAACCTTGAAGTGCATCAAATCCAACTTGTAGTGGATTGAGACTGCATAATATATTAGGTGCCATTGAAAATGGTCCTAATGGCAAATGAACCCAGAATATTAAAGTAATATGCATGTTATCAATAAGAGTACTTTTTGTGTAACTCCTTGTCGGAAGAATTTTTGCCGTTTTTAGAGGAGCAATAGTTTCATCTATATTGTTTATTAAAGATACAAACTGTATTCTAGATAACTTAGGATTATCTGAGTACAATGTCATAGGCTGATTAGGAAATATATCTTCATCTGGTGGTGGTGGTAGTGCAAAAATGCATAAAGGTAAATTAAGAATTAGTAATATAATCATTTCAAGCATTTTGATTAATTTAAAAGGTTAATAAAGATTCATTGTGTAATTTGGTGTAATGTTATGAAAAACTCCGTTACAAATGGCAACAGAGGAGATGCCTGAGTCCAATCATCTCACATAGTTCCCAAGAATCCTATTCCTATTTCTTCACGTTCGTACCAAGGGGCGTGGCGATTCCAGCATCGTTGCCTTTGACACGCTGGCGGCTTTGGAGAATCTAAAGTTCTTCACGCGCTGTGGCACCGCACTGTGATCCTCGCCACTTTGCTCGAAGGGATGCCCCTTTTTAAACTCGAGCCTCGACCCCTGCCGCTGCTGATGATGGAGGAGGTGGAGCACCTGTGGGCTCTTGGACGCCTCCTCCAGCTTCTTCAGCTTCTTCTGGTTCTCCGCCTCCTCCTTCAACACCTCCTTGACGAACGCAACCCGGAGCTTACGTTTTATCACCTTGAGCTTCTCCAAGAGCTCGGCGTCGTCAGGTAGCATCTTGATCGCCACCTGCGAGAGAATCCCAGCAAAAACCAAATGAGCCCCTCGACTTCACTCGACTCTCTCACCGTTTTATGAGTGTTCCCCACACCAAGTTTATCGAGGATAACCTGCAGATCTTTCAGCGCTCCTCGGAGATCGCCCAGGCCCTCAAATGCCAGTGCTCGCCGATAGAACGCCTTTGCATAGCCACAGTCCACTTTGATTGCTTCGGTGCAGTCGGACTTGGCAGCATTCCAATCCCTCATCTGAAACAGAAACATCAGTCAAAACCGGGAATGCCAACTTTAAGAAACCAAACCTTAAGATGACACAGCGCCCTGTTAGCATACGTTGCAGCCACGTCGGGATCAAGGCTGAGGCTCTTGTTGTAATACTTGATGGCTGCGCAGTAGTTCCCCCACTTAAACTGATCGTTCCCGCACAGCCGCTCTCTTTCCGCTGCCTCCTCGGCATCGTTCAGTCCAGCTACCGATGCACTCTCTCCCATTTGTAAAGCTAGATAGCCATGGTGCTACTAAGGTAGCTGCGATAGAAGAAAATATTTTTAAGCATTTCTTCTGCCTTGGAAATGCGACCATCTCATCCCTGGAGGGAAAGGAAACAAAAAAAAAAAAAAAAAACGATGTAAAGAATCACAACAAAAGACAAGCGTACCTCACTCTCCCAATTCGTGCATGACTACCTGCAAATGAAACAAACCCTAACGAGAAATGTTTATGGTTTTTACGGTTAGGCACAAACGCTATCAGAAGTGCAGTTAACAAAAAACAATTCTCAGACCATTAGTAGTATCCGTAAAGAATTCCTCTCCTCTAGTGTTGCACCTAGAACAAAGAGAGCATTAGTTTGACAGAGCATATCTTCAAGTGCCTACCTGAAACCTTCCTTTCTTTTCACTGTCAAACAGCACAGGCAGCGTCCATGCGTTTCTCAGCGGTTCTCGGCAGAGCCTCCGACGCTGAATGCCCCGAGACGATGTGATGATTCGCAGCAGCGCTCTTGGACAGCATCGCAGACTGGTGCTGCGTCTCCCAGATCAAGCTCCTCAGAGCATCCAGAGCAGCATCGTATCCCCGGAGCGAGTGCCTCATGGTGTGGTTGAGTACCCTGCTCACCCAGATCTTAAACAGCAGCTCCTCCCAGTCCTCGTCACCTTTCTCGAAATGAACCAAGAGCGTCCGGTACGCCGCCACCCACGCCTCCTCGTCGGCAAAGCCCCACGCCGGCCACTCGCTGGCATTCAGGAGCCCCTTGGCGAGCGCCGGATCGAAGTGCTTCTGGAGGAGATCCCGCTGCCCCTGCGTCCACTTGCTCCGCAAGAGCTTGAGCGTCTTCTCCACGTCGTAGCCAACCTTTTGCTTCACAAGCTCGGGCACCGGCCGGGAGTACTCCATCCTGTGAGTCCCCTCGTTGAGCGGCACCGCCTCGTCCTTGAGCGACTGCATTGCCGAGAAGCACTCCACCAGCATGGTCCTTAGATCCCGAAGGCCCGAGTAGAGGGCGTGGACCTTGCCCTCCGGGATGTAGACCTCGGCCAAGTGGAGACCCTTCTGGACCATGACGAAAGTGTAGAGAGTGTCGATGCCCCAGTCACTCTGGCCGCGAACTCGGTGATCGGTGTAGAGCGCCTCGGCGGCCTTTCTCGTGAGTAGGAGCTCTCCGCCCAGTGGCTGCTCGATGAATGGCAGCACCGTCTTGGGCCAGAGGAGGCAAAAGCCGATCTTCGTGACAAACCAAGTGATCATAGCGTCGGTGCTGGATCTGGGGAAGTAGTGCCGGACCACGTCGAAGTCTAGATCCGCCTGCCGCTCGGCCTTGGTGATCCAGTCCGCGGAGAAGGAGACGATGTCGGAGTCGTAGAAATGGATGCGCTGGAGCTCGGTGTGGTCGAGAAAGTAGGCCATCGCCGTGTTCATTCCATCGCCTTTGCCGGATCGCAGCGACACCCCGATGCGCTTCTGTTGGAGGAGGATGATGCGCTTGCCGGTGGAGCTCTCGATGGACGGTCTCTTGGCCTCGATGGCGCACCACGTCTCGCCTTTGCTGTAGCCGACGCACAGCACGGTGGAGACTCGCGGGTGAACAGCGGCGCACTCTACGTTGCGGACGACCACGGCAACGTCCTCCTCCTTGAATGGAAAGCACACCAGCGACATACTCCCCCAAGAATCGTCCAAAGAGAAGCCGGGGCAAGAATCTCGCGCAGACTATCCCCACAAATCTAGACAGGAGATCAAAGATTTCGCGATCGGAATGTCGAATGATCGATATTACCTGTGAGCGATGCAAGATTTCGAGCTAAAGATCCTCGAAGAACAGGAACTCGTCGCGATTCTTCCAAACCTGCCCGGCGCGCACGAGAATCTGGCAATACCGAGCAAGAACGCGATTAGGAGGGGAAGAATCATCCATCGATCGATATTACCGCCCGTGAGCACGAGGAGCGCTTTTGCGGAGCGAGGAAGACGAGAAAACCCTAGCTAGATAGTAGATTTTAAATGCATTGATTGATTAGAATATTCACCTCCCACATGCTTGGAGGACGTCCATGTCGTGTCCCACATTGCAAGGATGGAAAAACAAGTCGATTCGTTATACAATGTGGACAACAACGCTTACACAATGGGTCTCCACAAATTTATAGTGGATCTTTATATGACGACTGCTGTCGATCTCCACAATTTTATAGTGTTTTATGTCCTTGGACACGACTGGCGTAAACATTGGAGCTTTTCTATGTGACTTTGGAGGAGTTGGACTTGAGATTGCTCGAATTCTTCAAGCTCGTGGAGATGGTTCCTGGGAAGAACACATAAAAGGCGCAAGGTGTTAAGAACCGGAAAGTTTGACCTTTTACCTCAATCGATCGTTGTCCGCAAGTTTGAGCTTCAGTTCTTCCTGAGCCTGTTGAGAGAAACATTGTAAGGTGATCGGAGTTTTCTAGCTCATACCTTTCTGAGTGACGAATGGAGTGTTGCTATGTGACTTGCGGCTTCGTCGGCGTTCTCCTTCATCTTTGTGACTTCCAAAGCATTCTACGCGAAGGCGATTTACTTAGCACAAATTGTGATGTTTACAAGTTTTACCCTCTCCATCAACGTCCGAGCAGACGCAAGCTCGTTTCGCAGAAGCTGCAAAGTGGACTCGGTTCCATCTTTTGCCGCTTTGACCTGTCGAATATAGAATCAACACCGCAATCTAGCTTAGAATTTTCAAAGACGTGACCTGTTGTAGTTCAGCCGAAAGAGCCCCGTTTGATCGGTTCAGCTCTTCCTTCTCTCTGTGGTGTCGATCTAGCTTCTCATTTGCCTTCAGTCGCCAAGCTCTAGTATCAAGAAAAGAAAATATTGATAGCACAAATTTACCTGATCTAGTTGTTTTGTTAGTAGAGTTACATGTTCTTGCATAGCCCTGCACGATTCCTGTCGCATGAGAAAGGAGTCCATGAGTTCATCTATGCAGCCAAAGCCATCACGTAAACCTTCGATATCCCTAGCTCCGTGAAATTCTATCAGCTGTTCCTTTTCTTTCAGCAACTTCCTACAAGCAGAAATAATGAGGCCTACAGGATAAAGCCAAAAATTCTTGCCTGTAATAAGAAACTGCGTTCCGTATCATAGTTTGACTTCATTTGTTGTAGAGCTTGCATTTGCTTCTGAAGCGCCATGTCCAGCTTTTGTACCTGAAGCATATGTCATGTAAAATCTCAAGTACCAGCAAAGAAGCTGTGTGCCTACACAGGATTTGTATTCGTCGCGCTCTAAAACTGCATCCTCGTGCAACTCTTTGATTCGCTCTAGTGAACTGCAAGCACGAAGTCAGTAACGTGCATTCCAAAACTGATATCGACTGCAAACCTTTCCCGCTCATCCAATTTCTTTTCCACAGATTTGAGTTGATAGTGAAGATCCTGCTTCTCTCTTTCCTTCGAGTCCAATTTCAAGGCGCTTGCCTGACAAGATGCTCGAAGGAGATGATTGTGAAGTTGAAAGAAACAGCTAACCTGCAATTCTTCTCTGAGTTGTGTCGACAAAACTTCTGTTCTCTGGCTTGCTATTACCCGCTCCTCAAGTTCCCTTTGCAACAAGCTTGCTTTGGTACTCTCAGTGTCAACCTGAAAGCTAAATCAAGATCGATGTTATACAACACATCGAAAGTAATATCTGTTACCTGATCTTGAAGCGCGTCAACTCTTCGTTGCAAACGTTCTTTTTCAGCCTGAACAGTTTCTAATTCTGTCGAGGCTTTTGTCATTCCAGCCTGCGCTGCAGCTACTTGACCCTCCAAAACAAGACGCTTGTTACGCATATTTTGTACTTCTCTTGCGAGATCTTCTTGAGGAGATCCCGGAGGTGACTGCCACAAAATGGTTAAGGATATATGAGCAACTGTTTCAATGCTACCTTTCTTTTCGTGCTGCTACACGGCTTCATCGATGTCTCCCCTAACAGCACAGTTCTTTCTGCTGTATCTTCTGGCGTCCAATGGTATGGGTCGTCGGCTTCAATGCCTACACCAGTATGGCTTGCAGAAAGAGCTAGACACCAGTTTTTATGCAAATAAGTTTTGAAGGTGATCATGGCGAGGCACATACCTTCTTTCCTGGTACTGAACCATCCCTCATTGTCTTCCCCACCCTCCAGAGGAAGTGAGACAAAAGAAACTTTTCGAGATGTTGCCTTTGATTTAGTTTGCCTTCCTGCATTTCGAGCGCGTTAGCGAAGGAAAGAAGACTCCAAAGCCGAACCTTTTTGTGGAAGACGTCGCACCACGTACATATCAGAGAATGTACCACCTGAAGAAGAAACAAACTTGCAAAGTTTACAGAAGAAATTGTTAAAGCTTACCTTTACCACCATAGCCACCAAGCATGTAGAGAGAATCATTGCAGACAACAAGGCAATGTGCCGCACGGCCTTCTGGCCCATCCGCTGCATCAGCTATCTTCAAAGTTCTCGACTTACTGTCCACCACTTTAGAATCGTAATTTTGCCACTGGTAAGAAGCGCCGCTGGCAGCAATCTACAAGACTTTCTGCCAAGTTCAGCAACAAGAACTGTATTTCTCGATTACCTCGAGCGAATAAATATCGTTCAAACGTGACTTTCCATAGCGACCACCATGGACAAATATGCTCGTTTCATGCGCCAGTACCGCAGCGTGATTTGAGCGAGGACAAGGAGCTTCGCCGGACGGTTTTATGGTAAACCATTTGTTCTCAAAGGCATCGTACACACTGAAAGCGTAAAAATTGTAGAAGAAAACAAAGCACAACAAACGCACCCGATCACCTCAAATCGTCCTCTTCAACTATACCAGAGTTGTTCTTCCCTCCAAAGAGTAAAACGTTGTGTCCAAACGTGGTAAAGCTATGATAACCCCTCGAGCAAGGACAATTTCCTCCCGGTTGTAGCACCTCCCACTGCAAAGAATCTAAAAGCGCTACTTAAGTATGTAGGCAGAAGCTTGCATTCAACAGAGTTACCTGTGTTTAGCACCGAGAGATCGCCAAGCCAGTTAAAAGTCCCAGGCTTGAATCCACCATAGCCACCAAAGACGAGAATACACTTCGGATTTAGAGGGTGAATCACAGCTGCGTGAGTACCTCTTGGAGTTCCTTGTGATTTTAAAACTGGAGTAGACCACTGGAGGAAAAATGACACAAAAGAAATGAAGAAAGAAGAGAAGGTACCTAATTTACCTCGAGAGTTTCCGTGTTAAGAGCGTGAACATCATCGTGGATCGTCTTGGCATCACTTCCACCGATGATCCAAAGCGTGTTCTTCCCCACCACTGTCGCGGAGTGATAAGCCCGGGCAGCAAAAGGAGCGTGCTCTTGGAGCTGCCTCCATTTCTCGCGCTGTAGGTCGAATTCCCACAAATCATTCATGAATTGGTCTCCGCATCGTCCACCGAAGACCAACATCCTGCTGCCGCCAACGAGCGTGGCGGTGTGGCCTGCGCGAGCTCTCTGCGCTGCAAGGAAAAGAGAAATAAGCGATCAAATCAAGCTGTGGTCTCACCCGGCAGCCTCTCCCATTTGAGCATCCGCGTCATTCATCCGCGCCCTAGTTTTAAGCTTGGTGGACAAGAAAAAGAGGAAGTGGCGTGGGACTGACCTATGGAGCTACTTCATCGTCCCCAGTGCTCGACAAAATGAAGAAGGTTCTAGCTCATAGAAAAGCTTTGATGTGTTTGCGCAATGTATGAATTAGAGTCTGCGAAGTTGGAAAGTGCGATTTTTGTTCACGAACAAAGGTTGTTTATTACGGAAGCTTGAGTACGCAAAACTGCAGAGGCTGATGGAGTGGAATTCAAAGGAAAAAAGCTGGCTATCAACTGGACAATGGAAGAAAATCAATCATTTTTTAGCAATTTCTCATGATGCATATAAAGAACGTGAATTTGAAAAAGTTTGATTTATTTTACTTATCCTAATTAACCATAATTCTATAGAATTAACATATAGGAACATTGTTAAGAAATTGACCATAGTATTTCACCTTTCTCTGTATCATAGATATAGATATGACCATCGTCTGAAACTTCTAATCCTGTTTGATATTTCGAATATCGTGATATTAGTTCCCATATAATAACTCTATTATTTACAATAGTTAAATGACCAGTCCGGTCTAAATGTGCGAAACAATCACTTGATATCAGAGAATCAAGCTCTTTATTTGATGTCAATAAGTTAAAACCTTCACTTTTCCAAATATTACGTCTATTTTTAATTTGATAAAAAACTAATTGACAGTTTTTCATTGTCAATCTATAATTTTTATAAGGTGACACTAAGCTATTTCCATTTAATATGATCGATGTAACTTTTTCCATATCACCACCAATAAGTGATGATCTATAAATAATACAATTACCATCATAATTATACACATGCTGAGTAATTTTGGGTGTTATAAGATTATTATAATTATTATAAGTTAGATTTGAACCATAAGCATCATATTGCAAACCGTAATTCTTAAAATTAACTTCATATCCTCCATAATACTTCTGTTCTTTACTTTTACCACTAGTCTTTGCAGATTTTGAGATGTAATTCCGAATTCTATAAAATGCATTGAGAGCTTCTATTGAACCATATCCAAATTTTAAGGGATTTATACTACATATAATAGGAGTCATTGCATTATAACCCAATGGCAAATGGATCCAAAATACTACCCTAGCATACATATGTTCATTAAGATTAAATGTTATAGTGGAACTCCTGGTCCAAACAGTTTTTAATTTTAGTAAAGAGTCTATATATTCATCCATATTATGTAATATCGATTTAAAATGTTCTTTAGATAATAAGTTGCGATTACTTGAGTGGATCATCATAGGCTGATCATGAAAAACTATAGGTTCTGGTTCTGGTGGTGGTGGAGCTGGTGATACAAAAATGGATAAAGATAAAGTATGAATTAGTAATATAATCATTTCTTTATTACTTAATTGTTATATTATTATATTTATAAAAACCATTATGAACAGTTTACTATGATTAAAATCTTTAGGAGCCAAATGGCCACTTCTACAATCATCTACTTCTTTCTCCAAGGTTTCCCCGTGGCATAATTTAGATTAATATACTAGGTTTGTATAGTCTCCCTTTTAAGTTAAATCCAATGGAGCATGTTTGACATGAAAGCCCTTGCCATCTGGGTTCTAAAGATCGTGAAAGTGTGGTATCTAGTTTTCCAAAGTGATGAAGAGGTTAATATTTTATTTTGTATATTTTCCCAGGTAGAATAGAAGAAGGAAGCTTAGACGAAATGGAGTTATGCCTAAATTTAAGCATCCAAAGAAGAAAGACCCAACCTAGGCAAGAAGCAATTAAAAATGGTTATAAAATCATGTAGTATATAAATAACATCTAAACATGTTGGAAAAAAACCCCCACTCATTATTGTATGCATTTATATTGAATTAACCATCTTTTTTCCCACTTATGACTATTTGTGCAAAGTAAAGTTAAGAAAGTGACATATACTTATTCTTACTCACGCCTTGGGGTTTGAAGTTGAGTTTTCTTCTATTCTCTTTTTATTCTTCTTTCTCTTCTTTTTTTAGTGACTATGGTGGGATAAACTATCACTCTTTAACTTAAAAAATATCCAAGAAAAAATCATTTATGAATTTCAAACATGTTTAATATTAGAAATCACAAATAGATCTTTTTAGTGATTGTAGAGGCTCAAAGCCTAGACAACACTGAACAAATGAGCTTTTCTTGTAATTGTAGTGGCTTAGTGCCTAGACAACACAAGAAAGACAATTTTTTAATTGTCACACAAGCCACAGTGCTTGGGATGAGTTTGAAATTGAATTTCTATATACATTGTCAAAAAACTCAAATTTAAATTGTTTTGCTAGCAATTTCTTGAGAAAAATCCAAAAGAAGAAAAAACAAAGTTTGTTTGATATAGAACACACAATCAATTGCTATAGAATTTTTATTTTTAAGCAAGTTCTCACTTGGGGTTTTAGAGGACATATTTTTTCAGTAGTGTGTCATAATTTTTCTAGACATATACAAGCAGAAAAATTAGACATTTGTAACTTTTGTTTTTTACTTCAGCTTAAAGAGAGTTATAGCTAGCCTTAGTGAATAATAAATTAGGGAATTATTCACCTAAATATTACAAGTCTTCGATAGAGGTAGAATTATAATTAGAATATTATGCTGTCTCAAGGCTTTGATCCAAAGTCACATATTGCAAGAGCTTATGAGACTCAAACAAGACTCATAAATTAAAAATTCAGAAACAGTTATCATGAATTGCTCTAACCATTCAAACTGCTTTATGTTTAGTACACCTACGTGAATTAATCAAAGCTCATCTTTTATATAAAGAAAGCTTACAAACACTATTCAATGTGAAAGGTGTCATTCTCCTATAGATTTTGAAAGCACTCACATCACATTTAACCCTATAGGGAAGAATAAGGGCAATCACGTGAAACATGCCTTATATTCTCTAAAGTGAGGCATATACAAAGAGTAAATATATAAGTGAATAGGCATGAAAATCTATATTTTAGACCAATTGAATGATACTCTGTATAATTTGCTTATGTGATAAATATTCA